CGGTTGCCGAAAATTCATTTCCCTCGTCCATTCCATCGAAAGGCCTCTGAGATGGTTGGTTCCGGCCGGAGGTGAGCGTCAAGGTAGCGAAGCCGGCGTCCGTAGGCGCCTGTAGATCGCCGTCGCCCGGTGGCTGGTCTCTCTGAGCTAAATCCATTCCGCGTCGACTGCCGTGGCAAACCGACTGATGACAGAGAACTAAAAGGAGCATCGCTCAAGGGTCGAGCGTACTACTATTAATTACCGTGCAGCTGATATGGTGGCGTGGATGTTGAAGGTTCACATGATACGAATTGGTGATTGATCGAGCCTGAGTGGGATTTTCGCAGGCCCAGTGTGGAACTTCGGGGGATTATCTTTGGACAGATGACGAGCGAGAAGGATAGCAGGAAAAGCAAGGTCCCGACATTTGGGAAACTTACTGAGTGTGCAAGCTACAATGAGAGCGCTGATGTTGTACATTCTCCCCGAGTACACAAATGCCGATCCGGATGAGCCACGATGCGAAATAATGAACTATTGTGCCAAAGATAGACTCCGTCAGAAACGCCCGTCGTCTCTACTGCAACGGTTTTGGACAAATAGAGCCTTAACGAATCATTGATGACAGTCGTGACTGACAGTCTGTGGATACGTTCAATCGGTCGCTCTAGCTCTCAAAAGTAATCATGAAAACTTCCGGCGAATTCCGATGCAGTGCTTCGTCTGTGCGCGAAGAGGAGCTCTCGATGACCGAGGGACTTGCAAGCAGATGTCTCTAGCAGAGACAGCCCATAGCAGTACGCAGACGATTCGCGAGTTCGTTCTTCGCCGATACCTGCACGGTGAGGTAAGGCTCCCATCCTCGAAACTTTTTCGCGTAGGTGGACACAACCAAGATTGGCGGTCTCGGATATTGTTTTCAACTTGCTTGCGAGGACTGAGCAGAGAGCGAATCCACCAAAGCGGATGTAGGCCGAGTACCGACGCGGACGCTCACGTCAGGATAAATTGCCGGCAGCAGGGATCGAGCCCTCGCCATCTCCCTCAAGAGCGGCGTCACGTCGTTGCGCCTCTATTCCTATCGCCCCCATTTCAGAGGTCATGAACTTCCCGATTCCCCTCGATTCTCGTGTTGGAGGGAGTTCAGGTATCGATCCGGCTGCGCGGAAATGTCTCGGAGGTTGAGCTCGGAGAGCAATGACTCTAGAGGGGGCATGTGTGCATCATGCTCGGGAACTCATGCAAATGTATCCATCGGATCGGAAACTAAAATCTGATTCCCCAGGTATACCCGAAGTTCTGCGAGTAACATCGTGTGATACATTTATCTCCATTACATATGGACGGTGACTTCCGACTTCCGGTTCTTTCAGTTGAGAGAATCATCTTCAATCTCCCAGCGACTGCCTCCTCAACGTCGAACAACCACAGATCCCCTTGCTCTGTAGACTCGAGCCTCTTCCTCGATCAGGTCCTTAAATTATTATCAACAGGATTGGAGCTGATTTCGATTCAGTACCACGAGGTGTAATGAAGACGAGCTTAGGAGCAGCGGAGTGCGAGATGAACAATGGAGCAATTTAAATTAATAGCGGTATGTCGTGACTCCTGACCAGAGGTGCTGGATTCTACTGCGCTCCTGCATCATTCGAAAAAAAATTCCTTGTCGCGGATGGCACAACAGGGAAGGGAGGAGAACTTCTCCCAAGCACCGGGACTCTTCGATCAAGAGGCTGAGCGTCCGAGCTCCCGCTCGCTCGACAAGGCTAATGAATGGTTCTTCCGGGAGTCGGGAAATCGATCTAGAAAACCGGATACAACGATGATTGCTCGAGATCGATGGCGAGGGTTTCGATTCTGATCATGCCCTACAGGGTGAGAATAATCCCCCAGCCGGTCCCGTCTTGAGTCCACAGTCACTGACTTCAACTGAGTTACACGTCTATGGGGAACTAAGAGTCTTCTTCGTTTTTTTTGTCTTCTTTTTCGTGGTCGTTAGGGCGCCTCATTGTAATGATTAATGATGCTCCGATTGGATGAACGGCTAGAAAGTCCGAGGGACTCGTCGCTCTCAGTCAGTCATCGAATTTAGGTACGGAGATGCCTTCGTGAATTCTCCGCTTACGGGAGATTTTCCCCCACTCAACGCCACGTCGATTCGTTTTGCGCCGATCACTGCTCGATGAGTCTCGTTTAAGAATTTATTGATCATCTAAAATCAACTATTACTTTTGGACGGTTTCATGACGTATGTGGTCAATCAGAGAAATACTTATCACGCCCGTACTAATATCTCGTCTCGCCGTTTGAGGGGGCTCTTGGGAGAAGTCGCAATGAGTGAGGCACGAAAGCACGGAGCATCAATACATCTGATACGGGAACCGTCAGACGCGTGTACACCCGCGGGGGACCGATTGGTGCTCTTGATTATCATCAGGAGCGCAGAAGGGAAGAATCTTTCAGGTCCGATTCGGGCATCGTGCTTTCGGGCACCGAAGAGTTGGGCATCGCACGGAGGGCAATCTCACAGTCGGGCATCTAAGGGTCGGGCATCTG